TCTGATGAATGATAAAATCTCCTTTACCAATGAAAACTTTGCTTTGCTTTGCTTTGAGCCTTGCAACAAACGCTTTGAACTTTTAACAATGTCATTCAATAAGGGTTTTCTTTTTCTTTTGCATTCTTCTTTAAATATTAACATTACAGAGCAGCATTAACTCCACACGCCAGCAGAATAGTATTAACACTATAGAGCACAGAATTTATAACCAGTACTATCATACAATACCTAGTACAGTATGTTGTACCACCTTATGGCAGCTCTGTCGCTTTTCATTGAGGAAAGTATGTAAATGTAGACATAGTTAATCTATGGATTTTGGTGGTTATTAGGCAAGATAATTGAAGTTAAAAGTCATTTATTTAAACAGCAATGAAATTTACGAGGTCGGGGGACTCGAAAAGGGTGGAAAAAGCTCAGTATCCTTTGTACGTTATATGCCTAAGTTGCATTTAAAATTTGTATCCTCTTTCCAATAACAAGATGACATTTTGACATTTCTTGTAGAATGCACCAGGAAAGTTTTTCTTACTTCGCAAAAAGGACATGTCCGGGTAAAAAAACCTATACAGAGGGGACGGGCCATGAAAGTCAAGCCTCCACCCTGAAATTTGAAGGGAACCCCCTTAGCCCTCTTAACACAATATTTTATTTGTGAAGAAATGTTAAATATTATTTTCCCCCTTTAACTTGACAATTTGGGGAAATGTTATACGGCGTTATTGAATGAGGCTCTCCAATCCATCTGTCAATAGACAATCATAACATAAAATGAATTCACCATTCAAATTATACCATCATATTATTCAGTTATAATCATTGAACTATTCAAGTTATACATTCATTATTGTTGTAGTATTTTTTATTTATGTATTAGGGAAATACGTCATACGTAAATTAAAAAGAACGGAGAAGAGGGCCCGGAAATAAAGTTGGACCATATGTATTAGGGGGCACATGCCTATGATCGACACCGTTTTCTTGGTTTTGACTAATGTTCTATTGTTTAGATTTTTCGTCGTTTTCTCTTTTAAGTGGCGCGTACTCTAGATAAAAGATTTATCCCACACTTGTCATTATCTTAGACTCTTTTCCGTCATTATTAATATCAAATTTTTGCCTGTAATTCTATTGCAGTAGCAGCAAATCTATTTCTATTCACTGCCTTTCTCTACTACTTAGAACGATTTAAAGCGCAGATGAAAAGAATTGACAAGTAGATCGTCAATAATGGTGATTTATCTCACAAATTTTATTTATGACTTCCTCAGTCAATGACTTCAAAGTTTTGCTTCACACGCTGTTTAGTGACCAAAAACATCGATTAATCGCTTACAATATTGACCTTACTTGTGCTTGATATTCTGTCAGCTCTCTTCGTAACAAGTTCTCACCGTATCTTCTTCTAGTTCTAACATTATCTTTATCCAACGTTCCTTCCCCAAGCCTTCTCTTTGACCTTTTTTCGCGCATCTTTCATTTTCCACACTTTATTTTTCAGAGTTTTCATTTGCAACTTCTTGCACAATGTTTTATAAATCAGATCTTCGAATCAAACACAAATGTGTCAAATAATAAACTTGAGTCAATAGTATGCAAAATTTCATGTGTACTGTGGTAATGCTTATCTTCAGTTCAATTAATGTATTGACGATATGCCTCAGTACATAGATTAAGAGCCCCCACCCTCATGAGAGTGGGGGCTCTTATTTTTTTTTTTTTACATTTCTCTTGAACGAACGTATCTTGCGAACGAGTCGCTCAAAAACTTATTCAGCAATTAAAAGGGTCAGATGAAGTAAAAATCTAGCTTCAAATAATAAAATGTATAAACGGGTGTCTCGGACTGAAATTCTTTTGATTCCACACATTGAAATGAAAATTCATTGAAAATTAGCACTAGTTTTCTTGCCTCAACTAAAACTCGCCACTAGCCTCGAAATATTCATTTAGAACAGCTTTTCAAGTATAATAAATGCTTGAAAGACTGTAAAATGTAGATTTTAATTCTATAAATACGAATTTTAAAAACCAACTCATGTATGTATGTAATTTTTACGTACTGAATTGTAACATATGCATCAAATATGCATAGGTTATTAATTTAAACATTAACCAAAATAATACTTCTTGTTTTACTAACAAAACAAATTGCATCTAAAAAATCCAAAATAATTGAAGGGTTGAGTAAAATAGTTGTTCTTTTAAAGCTATTTTCTTGCCTTCGTGTTCTTTGTATGTTCCACTCTACGCATAGATAAAGCAATAGAATTTCAAAATCATATCGTTAACGTTATAACCAATCTGTCTCTTCGTGAAAACATTAGTGACATCTGTTTTGTGATACGTCAATGAGATTGCCGAATTAACAAATCAAACACCATTTTCAACATTTCATTTATTTTTCATTAATTAAAAAACTGTTTTAATTAAATCATTAGATAATTTGTGTAGTAAAGAATACGAGGGGGACATCAACTCTCCGGCTTCATCAAATCAGGTTAATTTACATTCGACGGTTATATGCGAATCGATAATTTGTAGCATGATATTAAAGTTCATCCCCAAGGGAATAGTGAAATAAAATAAAATTAAGATGATGGACTTAAAGAGATAAAATACAATGAATATAAATTGGAACGAACACAATAATAATTGCTAGATAGACAAAGACGTCAACAAATTAACAAAAATAATTCGAAAACAATGCACGTTTGTTTCGTTAAAACTGCACCCTAGAAGCTTTGGCGCGTTTACTCTCTTCCCGCTTCGCATTTCTGCACCAACAAACAAGTAGTACTAAGAACAGCGGCTGCTTCAGGGTCAGCGGCCCCAACGCACTTGCCTTCTCCTCCCCCCGCCCCCGCCCGCGCCCGTCCAACCGCCTCGTACAGCGACCGCGCACGGAAGATGTCGCGGGGGGGGAGGGAAGGGCGGAGGACAGGGCGGGGCTGGGAGCGGGGTGGGTGGCATGGCGGGAGAAGCGTACACGGCCGGTAAATTGGGCGCGGAGATGGCCGTCTTGTGTTCCGGGTTCGGGCTCGCGCTCCAATCACGCGGCGCGCCCGCCGCATTTGGCATTTGCATGTGGGGTGCACGCTGGCGCCGCTCCGGCTCTGGCCTCCCGCCACTTCGCTGCCCCCGGTGCGAGTCGGGCACGCTGACCTCCACAGGTAGGCTCGCTCCGCCCACATCACCATTGCCGTCACACCACGCCGCCGGGCCGCCGCCACGCGTTGTCCATCGTCGTCACCCCGCCTCCTCCCACGCAGTCCGCACCGCCCCTAACCCGCTCAACCGCACGCGCTGCCACGTCACCACATCGCCTACTCCGCCACCGCCTCCACCTCCACCACTGCCACCGCACCCGCGTCCGCCTCCTCCACCGACGCCACCAACGACCGAGTACCGACTCCGTCGTAACCACCGCTGCGGACGCTCGAGCAGCCACTTTCGCTTCACCCACTCGTTCTCCGACTTCAGCGCTAGGGACTTCATATCCGGCGCACATCACGGCACCCCTGACGCATAATTGCGTTCGTCTGTGACCCATCACATCTCTCACTGGTGACTCGGTGTCGACAACTTCTTCGCGCTGCCCATTGTTGAAGTGCCCCTGCCGTCCTCTAATCACCATTATACATCCAGCCCCGCTCTCTCCGTCAGCTCACCTCATAATGTTTAGCCAATTCTTAAAATGGTAAATTGAAAACGTTTCGAACCTTTCAATTCCTTATTAAAGTTTCTTCTTGGTAATTGAATGTAGTATGCATAATACTTAAAATTAATAATTCAAGAGCAAAAATGTTCAATTTCCCTTTTTCTCAGTACGCCGAATATATGCTCAACAGATAATTTATTTCCGTATCCAATCGGATTACTCATTGCCAGTCAAGTTAATTGCGTGGCTTCTCCCAAGCTCTCAGTAATTCATGCGTTTCCTTCCTATATCTCACGTGTTTTTTCGTCCGTGTAGCCGCTGCATCCGCTCTTGCGATTAGTACGCTCCTTCATTACATCTCGATTCTTAATTCAGTGCAGCAGGTGTCTCCTGCGTTCCATCTACGACTTCAACTGCAACTGCCTCCCCCGTCACTACAAGATTCACAGTCGCTCTTCCTCTGCAATTGCCTCTCACGGCCGCGGTGGCTGTAACGCCCAGAGTAACAGATAGCGGCGATTTAATTTTACAACACACTTCCCGCCCACTATGAATGCTAAATTAAGTCATTTTTAGTGCATTTGCGTCCGCTAGATTGCAGTTTATGTGGCAACGTATCACAACATAGATGTCCTCGTATCTAACTAATTCAACGACAATAAAGCTTCGTGAACGGTAGGAGCACGGAGGTCTTGTTTGCTCAGTGGCAAAAGTCCAGCATTGTTCCCTCTGCTATTCGCATGTGTTAGCGAGCGAGGCCGGCGACCTGCCAGGATCCCACAGTGAGCTGCAGAATCCGTGAAGAGAAGAATGAATTTATTCAAAACATAAATTTATGCTTCGTTTCAAACTCACTAGGTGTTGTAATCTACAATTTTGAGCTTGTAAAAGACAATGTATTTCTTGAAAGTAGTGAATGTTATCTCCACGTACTAATTAGAGAAGTAACTTCTCGTAGTAACTACATTTCTCTTCAATTATTCTTTGTAACTCAGGAGAAGACACTGTAAATAAATATTTTCTCCCATAGTATTAAACTCTAATTGGATGTCGTATTTTCTGGAAACGTGTGTTTAAATTATTGATAAAAATTGTTTGTGGAGGAAAGGTTAAGTCCAATAATTATTTTCCTAATTACTATCAATTCCATCCCTAATTTTCATTCGCAGTTTTTTTCTTTTCAAACAACTTCAACAATCAAGTAATCTCAGCAATACTATCAGTGTTTACTACATTTATTTAGAGTATAATTTGAATCTGATACAGAAAATTAAGAGACTTGTGTATGTTGGTAATGCCATTGGCTGTTTTTTGCAGTCGACCGATCCAGACTTTATAAACCAAGTTGAATTAATAAAAATATGTTAATGAATTTTACGACAAATCTCTTACGAAAGAACTCGAAATATGCTGAAAATTAAATAAAAAATTAAATGAGAGTAAAATACGATCACTTACTCATGAACTTATGGCCCACGGAAACTCAGGCAGCAGCGTCTGTAGTACTTGTAGACTTAAGCCGGACCTGAGGGTAACATAAATTCACCGTGAGTCAAATTCACTAATATCGAATAGCCTACATGAAAATGTAGATGGATTGTTGCGTACTTTCAATATAATATTTCTGAAAATTTATCTAAACTAATTCTTTCATTCAATTATTATTAAGTCCCAAACCCCTAGAGATACCTAGTTGAATCTAGAATTGGCAAGTGTATTGATATTAATAATTATATAAAGCAGATGGAATGAATAGCACAAGCGCCTGGATACATCAACAAAGCAAAGTCTTACGAAGCGACGCAGATTGATTAAGGAGAGTTGATCGGGAAGAGAAACGAAAAATGAGAACAAGAACCCGAGAACACTCGAACCAACGTTCTTTCTCACAAAATTCCACATCAAAAGACTGAGATTTTAAGCCCAATATCCGGAAATGAAAATCTACGTCAACTTCACAGCACGCTACGCCGCGTGTTTCTCGCCCTTCACATATCGGACTTCAGGTTTAGCGACAAGCACAAACACACACACACACACACACCCTCGCGTCTTGAGTTGCCCTCTGGCGGCTTCGAGCGGCTTCTGTCTCCCCCTTCTCCTCGTCCTCCCGTTTCCCACTCCTCTTTCCTCCATTCCTCTCGCAGCACACGTCCCCCCCACCCCCAGTCTTCCAAAACAAACGCGCAACGGCAGCGCGCCCGCAGCAGCGGCGGCGAGAATTCATTCGCGGGTGCGCTTCGTTTATCGGTTTGTTTTCGCTGCCACGCGGCTGCAAGCGACAAATCAGCGAAGGTAAACAGGCTGCAGCACCGCGGGCTAAACGCGAGCTTCTCTCTCTCTCTCCCTCCTTTCCTCTCTCTGTCTCGATCTCTCGCGCGCGCCGGCTCGCACTACCGGTCTACCGGCCGGCGGCAGGCAGGCAGGCAGGGAGTTTATTATTATTTATTAGTTTATTACGTCCGGCCGCGGTAGCGGAGAGCCTTCAGGTAGAAATCGCGATAAAAGTTGTAACACATGCGCGCGATTGGCATTAAACGGGCGAGCTCTTTTTTATGTAGTGAATGGGCATCGAACAAACACAAGCAACTGCTGGGGGGCGATTCTAACAATGTTTTTCTGTAGGCGCGGTGAATAACCAGATCGCGGAGGAAATGCTGGTTTACATCCGAGTAACGAACTGGTTGCTCTCGTTCCGTGCTTGGAAGGTCAATATTAGTTTATTCGGCTAAGAACGGGCGTGCATAATTTATCACGTGGGAAGGTTTTATTTACAGGAAAAGGAAGAAAAAAATTACTTTCGTCCAAACATGTTTATTCTTTTCGCATTTTGCTTGAACAACATTGAGATGAAATTTCTAAAAAAATCGTTTTAACATTATTAAAATACTTATTAGTACGCGAGTACAATACGCTGCCCAGAGCTGCAAGGAGGAAAGGATTACTTTACCAGAGTGTGTGTACGAGAAAATTAGTTATGTTCCTGCTTGTAGAAGTATTAGCAAATGTGGCTCTGATATAACTGTGCACTTTGTTACGCTATAATGCGTTATGCAATTTAATTATGTTTGTAATTAACAGAAAAAGAGTACAGTTGCAATAAAATTTAAAACGCACTTACTGTAATTATTATAAGAAGTTCCTTAAAACCACTCTAACAACAAACATTACTTCAACATGTTTCCCTGAGACCACTATCTACTTTGGGCATGAGAATTCACTCTTTCTCTTGAACTCATTCATGTTTTTCACATAACAGCTAAGAGCGCTGAATCTTACAAAAATATCAACACACTGAGTGATTCTCCATGTTGCTCAACGTCGCGTGACGACTTCCGGTTTTCAAGCTAAGCGATTTCGTTTACGCTCGCGCGTGACACGGGAATATGATGGGAAGCAGAAGACAGCGGCAACTGCGAACATAACTTTCGCTAAACGCTGTTTCATCGGGCAATGAATATTTATCGTCAGAAACGCAAATGGACGCGCGCAACGGAGGCGAACTCGCTGCTCCCATAATTACTGCATGCGTTCCGGAAAGCGCTGCATTCGCCTGATAAAGCGACATGCATACCAAGCAACAGATCCGCAATGCAAAACGTAAAATTAAAAGGCTCGTAAACGCCAAACGAAGCGCGGCAAAGGTCGCGACATTCTGTGAGAACGCACCGTGCGGGTTTCGAACAGGGGCCCCGAGGTCTTCGGCCGCTGGGGTTCTCGGAAATGAAAAAAAAGGTAGGTTTGAGTGGGTGGATATGGAGGGTGAGGCAAGCGTGGGGCGAGGGTGGGGCGAGCGTGAGGCGAGCGTGAGGTGAGCGTGAGGCGAGCGTGAGATGAGCGTGGGGCGAGCGTGAGATGAGCGTGGGGCAAGCGTGAGATGAGCGTGGGGCGAGCGTGGGGGCGAGCGTGGGCGAGCGTGGGGAGAGCGTGGGGCGAGCGGTGGGGCGAGCGTGGGGCGAGCGTGGGGCGAGCGTGGGGCGAGCGGTGGGGCGAGCGTGGGCGAGCGTGAAGGCGAGCGTGGGGCGAGCTTGGGGCGAGCTTGGTTTGGTGGGGGTGGGCGAGCGTGGGCGGGCGAGTGGCGACCGTGGGGTGTGGCTGGGCGGAAATTGGGCGCGGAGATGGCCAGCCAGTTGGAAAAGAGTGGAATAGGGAGAGATTGGGAGGGTGGGAGTTTGAGAGGGCGGGAGCATTGGCGAGCGGAGAGCTGCGAGCTTCGGCTGTGAGAATCGCGAACTTCTCGCCAATTAAGAACCGAACTCGGATCGTCTGTCAGCGCTCCCGATGCGTAACGAGGCGGGGCTTCCTGCCTTCGCGGTACGTGCCGCGGGAAGAGTCGGGGGATGCTGAGGAGACAGGGGGCGAAGGTGATAAGAGTTATGAAGGTGGCGTGGAATGCAGGAAGTCGTTAATACAAAGTTAGTAGAACACGTGATATGTGTGTGTGGTAACGGTATCACGCAGGACAAAGGACACGGGAGTATACTAAAATAGGATTTTTTTTTTCAAAGAATTGGCACCCTGCCCGGGAATTAAACTGGGATCTTCTCGTTCACACCGAGTTTCTCTAACCATTGAGATACTGGAAAAGATCAATTCTTACATCGTTTCTTAGGTCAATTTGTTTTCCCCGTTATGTGATATTCAAGTGTCATTACATAATTGTTGGGAAATATGTTCCGCACAGAAAGTATTTCCATGATATGTTAAGGGTGTGCTGCAAAAATAGACTGTAACAAATGTATTTTAATTATTAAATTTGTTCAAGGAATTTTCACTCCGATCGCAAATCGATCCCCGACCTGGTCGTGTTGGAAGCTGAGATGCTAGCGAAACCCATGACAATTAGGTGACCACAATAATGACGAAGAATAAGCAAGAAAGGAAAGATGATTGAAAGAATGGAAGGTCATTAATATTGTTTTAATTAAATTTGATTTAACTGTATATATTATGGAGCTATTATGATTATATTCAATATTTTCGACATTCATGGTGAGATTGAATAAATAGAAAATCTGTCGCTGATATTGTGATGATTTAACACAAAGTGTGTGCAAAGGAACAACAAATTCGGATAAAATATACACACAGAATGACAGCAACAATGGGGCAAAGGAGAAGCAATTGATTGAGTAATAACTAATTAAAATACAAGGTAATGACGACATAATTAATATAGAGCAAAGTAGGGAATGTATTGATAAATACAACAGTGTATGGACACGTGAGAAATTTCTGTAAGTGAAGAAGAAAATTACGAATATAATTAGGAATCGATAAGCAAAGGATAAATAAATAAAGTGGTAGAATGACGTTGACCAATAAAAAATTAGAACATTTACATAGCCTGCGCATTGGGACGAAGACGAAATCTACTTGGGCACGATCCCGCGCAGGGGCGAAGAGCGGGAAAGACAAACAAATGGAGTAGAAGACATTCCGACGCTGTGAGATTCGCAAGCAGATATACGTGGTATCGTTCGGATGGCAGATATGCGTTTACGATTTGGTAGTGTTAAGTAAACTAGTAAATAGTAGGAAAGGTTATAAGTAGAAAGAATACTATAATTGCGTGTGTGAGAGAAGAAGATACGTTGGTCTGGACCGGATTTCAAATAAAATGGAACTTTGAGTGGACGCGGAAGGACGCTCAAGAGAGATTAGAAAAGTTATTAAAAAGGATATATGTTAAGTTCTGTAAATGTATGAAGATAAAGTTTTGATCTAAATATAAGAAATATAAATTAATATTAAAGTAGGATAATGTACATTCATGAAAGGGGAGGAATTCAGGAAAAGAATTGTAAACAACAATATTAAGGGGTTCATTACATCATTCTGTGAATTGTCGTAATTATAAAATGCTATGTACGCATGTTATGTTTGTGATCACAGCATAATACAGATTACTATCTTTTCAACCCAATGTGAAAAGGAAAGAAAAGTAGTCTACGTAAATTTTCATAATCGAGCCTCTGTAAAGACGGTCTATCTGACTCACAAATAAATTTATCATGACGGGGCAACCTTGGTACATGCTTCGGGTTATTGTCGGGTTAAATGTAGATAAATAATGATAATTAATAATTGAATAAAAAGTAGGTAGAATAATCAAATATAAAGGTACCAGAAAATACCCCCGTCAGAATATACACGGGCTATCAAAATTATATATTTCAGAGGTTACATTGACCAAGACGATCATTTCGAGAAACATTAGATACAAGCACTTAAAACGCAATAGAAGAAGAAGGAAACTACTTTTTCTCTTTATTTTTAGTCGCATCAGCGACATAGGTTATTAGCGACTACATTTTTTATAACAGGTGTTTATAGACAATTATGGCTTCATCCATTACTTATGATTTAGTAATCATAATAAAATAGTATGTAATCATTTCTTTTTTTCC